CTGTTCAACTAGGCTTCTCAAAGCTCAGTCCTGTGACGTCTGTCAGACCTCTATCTTTGGCCATGTTCTCCAATCTAGGGACAACGGTTTTGCACTTTACACAATCCATTTAGATTTCACTAAGGCTTTTGATCGTGTTGACCATGCTCTTCTTCTCTTGAAACTGTCCTCTTTCGGAATAGGTGGAAAACTTTTGGAATTTATATTCTCTTACCTGGGCGCTCGTGCAAAACGAGTTAAGATTTCCAATGGTATCTACAACCCCACATGTGTAAGGAGGGGAGTCATCCAGGTTAGTGTACTCGGCCCACCATTATTTTGCCTTTTTGTCTACGATGTACCACATTTATTTCACAATGGTAAGCCCTTCATGTATGCCGATGATCTAAATGTTGCATATAGGCATAAGCCGGCAGATCGTGGCATCGTGCTCGAGCTCCTAAAGAGCTACCTGCAGGCCTTTGACCAGTGGTGCCGCACATGGTGTCTTTCTCCCTCTTGGCAGAAATGCTCAGTCATGGTGGTTGACGACGACCACCAACCTCAACTAAGTATTGACATCAATGTGCCTGGGGTTATTAGGGATCTGGGTATATTACGCTCCAAAAGTCTTAATCGTTCGGAGCACTACGCTCTGATGGTTTCCAAAGCAGGCAGAACGCCCGGGTTTATCCTCCGAAACTTTAAAACCAGCGGTATTAGAATTCGCCTTTATAACACGTACCCTAGACCTGGCCTGGAGTACTGTTTGCTTTTATTTAGCCTCATGCATGCTGCTGAGCGGAAGAAAATAGAATCCGTTCAACATTTTTTACCAAGAGAGTCTCAGCTCTGGGAAATTGATATTTGTCTTACCAAGAACGTTGCCGGCTTACAGACCCTGGTCCATTGTGGTTTCGTGGATCACAAAAGAGACCATGTTTACTATTTAAGCTTTTATTTAATCGTACCTTTAACCCGCATACTACTTTAAAACATCTTGTCCACCCCCGACATATGAGTCACCGTGAGGTCCTGTTATATCTTCCTCTGGCGCTTACCGTTAAATATCGGCGGTTCTTTTCTGTAAACGCAATTGCTACTTGGAATAAATTAGCCAGATATGTGAAAACTCTGCAAAATTATTGTTTGTTTAAGATAAATATTAATCGCCTTTGACATTCAGCAAAACATCACAAATTCTGTGTGGTGAATGTACCGTAGCGATGGTGCTCGTGGTCTCTGATCCCCATGACCGGTCTCGTCATGGACAATTTATTTGACCAACAGCGACCTCTGTTCTTCAGTGCTTCTGTTTGGTTCAATCCCAATTTCTGGAAAAGAAATGACGACTGATAATATCCGATGCAGTGCTACCCCTCCCTTTATTGACTGTCGACATTTCATGGGCAGCATTTTTTCCTGAACCCTCCAAACTTTTAAAACCACCATCATCTTTATTTTCGATCAGGAGTTTTTTCTTTATTGCTGGCCGGATTTGTATTCCACCTTTCCCTGAAAATGACTGTAAACCGGCATTAAATACAATGATTATTATTCTCTGAGGTCCCATAAAATTGCTCTGAGTTGCAAAGGGCGTTGATGGCGTTGAACTTTGCAAGGAAGACGTAAAGACTGAGCATCTTTCCTAGTTCTTTCAGTCGGTTTTTACAACGGTAGTCGATTTACCCGCTGATAACTATGATGTGGATGAGGTCCGACAAGTTGACATAGTGGCTCTCACAAAACTACTGTTCAACAAGAACTACTGAGGCTGAAAAAAGCGGCATCACCAGGTCCTCATGGAATATCAGCAAACTTGTTGGAGGAGTTAGCTACAGCATTGGCAGAACCTCTATGTCTTCCCTTCCAAGCCTCCCTCAGTGCAAGCAGATTGCCTCCTGAGAGGAAGACTGCGTGGATTTCGCCGATATATAAAAGTGGTAGTCGAGCCTCCGCAAACATCTGCCGACCAGTAAGCCTCACCTCCACATGCTGCGAAGTTGTGCGGCAAATTATGAAACGCGAACTGATGCACTTTTTAGAGCAACATAATCTTCTCTCTGATAGGCACTACGAATTCCGCAGAAGACGGTCCTGCTTGACTAATTTACTCTACTACCTAGAACGGCGAACCTAGGCGATTAACGGAGGAAAAGTGGTGCATGAGGCCTACGTAGACTTCAGGATGGCCTTCGACAGTGTGTTACATCAACGTCTAATATACAGACTCAACTGCGTAGGGGTAATGGGCAAGCTTTTGAAGTGGGTCGAAGACTTCTTAATTGGTCAATCTCAGACTGTCCGTCTTGGTAACCAGCAATCGGCGGCGGTGAGGCTTGCGAGCGGCGTATCTCAGGGCTCCGTTCTCGCTCTTATCCTCTTCTTCATATATATTGTTTATTGCATGTGTGAGTTAGACTGCAGCACTGCCATGTTTGCTAATGACATGAAGCTCTGGAACGTAATCCGCAACGAGGACGATGAAGCAAACCTACAGACAAAGTTTAAACGACTTGAGCAATGATCAAGTCACTGGCTCCTCCCGTTCCATGTTGCACAACATTCTGCGAAGTGCTAAGACCATGTCTGCGTACTGCAGGACGTTATATCTTAATAACAAACCGCTACCAGTGGTAGAGGTTCAGAAGGATCTGGGCGTGTGGATCACATCCTCACTAAAGCCATCATTCCACTGCCTTAAAGCAGCAAAATCCGCAATGTCCAGCTTATATCTCATCGGGCGGGCATTAACGAAGTTCGACGAAGAGTGCTTAGCAAGATCTTCGGGGTGTTCTTGCGGCCACAGTTGGAATATGCCATTCAGGCCTGGAGACCCTGGTCTGTTAAAGACCGTACCACCCTCGAAAAAATCCAACGACAGGCAACCAGGCCTGTCAGAGGTCAAAAACCCCACCTTACGAAACTCGACTGTCCAATTTTTACCTCCTTCCTCTGGACTGCAGACGGTCACGTGGCAATTTAATTCAAGCGTCTCACATGCCGCGGGGTCGTGATTGTTGCCTCGCATCCGGCGACTTTTTTGATCCGGCCACCACTACTATTTTGAGAGGATATCCTGTCAAACTACGCGTGACTGGGGCAAGACTGGACGTAAGGAAATTCTTCTCCAACCACAGAATGATTAACGCATGGGGTGCTGTGTCTGTGGACGTCGTCATGTTCTCATCCGTGAACACATTTACGAAGCAGCGTGACCAGTAAAGGGATATTAATCACCACTTCATCAAGAACTAATAAATTTTTTCCCTTGTACCTACAAGGTGTGGCTAGGTGTGGCCAAGCGCGGCCATGGCCACGCCTAATTTGAAGAAATTTTGGAGGACCTCCCGATCGTGTAGGTGACCACTTCTGCATTGCAAAGTGCTAAATTAGTCAAGATATATCCTATATCACTCATAAAGTACCAGGAATCTTCATATTGTGAGCAGTGGTTATGTCTCGAAATAAGCTGATTAAGGTGCTTTGTTTAAGTGGGCCCATTAGACGTCATTGATCTTTTGCTGTGTCTGGGGTAAGCGTTGCAGTTCTCTCGTCCTGTGATTGTTTATGACATATTGACAAGTAATTCGGCGTCCATTTTGCGTCTGATACTTCTATATTTTCCAAGTTGTGCCATTTAGGGTATGCGTTATGCTTATTAAGGTGAAGTAACATATGTATTAGTATAATTTCACTTATGATTTTGCGAACAATGTTGAAAGTACAAATATTTGTTGTAGTTGAGTAGTTATTCGTTGCTATGAAGCGTAAGTATTACGGCTTTCACAGAAGTACTATATACAAGCGGCTCTTGTGCCAGAGGCGGGCATATTATGCTGCTATGGAGGAGCAACCCATCGCATCAACGTCTTTGGTCGCAAATGCGTCACTGGAATTGCAAATGCCTGAACTAATGCCGGAAGTTTCAACGGGGAGGAGTTGTATGTGCCTTATTTACTGGAATACATAGAACTGCCTGTAGTGGCTGGGACCGTAGACACAGTGGAAGGCAGATGCTTGACGACGAATTTGCGCGAATTCTGTTTGAGGGCGAAATTGTCGTTGACCACAGCAACGGATTTGTTTCAGGTGCTGCGGCACTATCATCTGGAGCTACCCAACGACCCAAGGACGCTACTGCAGACGCCTCGAACTTGCGTTAGCAAGTCCCTGAAGAGAGGAAAATACGTTCACCTGGGTCTCGAACGCGGCCTACACGACAAATTGCGCCTTTGCCCACTAACGGCCATTCCTGAACAGCACATTGACGGAATGAAAGTCTTTAAAGGGTCTGATCAGTGTTTGCGGCCGATCCTTGCCCGTGCTAACCATCCCGTTGTTGGGCAGCCCTTTGTCGTTGGAGTGTTCTGCGGTTTTGGTAAGCCCGAACCGTTGGAAGACTTTCTGGGCGATTGTGTTAGTGAACTGAAGGGCCTTCTCACCACGGGCCCGCGCGATCCACATATAGAAAGTGTCATCAAAGTGGATTTGCTCAATGTGATTTGCGACACCCCAGCCCGCTGTTATGTACGACAAGTGAAGGCCCACAATGGCTACTATGGATGCGACAGGTACGCTGTTTTGTATTTGCAATCGTAACTGCTGTAGATGCTGTCACAAAGGGGAACATATTGCGAATCGCATGACATTCCCGCAGTACAGTGGCCGTCTGAGTGATGACAGGTCGTTTAGGTTGCGAAGTCAGGGACCGCATCATAAGGGCAGATCTCCCTTCGAGGATTTGCCCATCGACATGGTTTCCTGTTTCCCAATTGACTACATGCACTAAGTCTGCCTCGGTGTTATGCAAAAATTGTTGCATACTTGGCGACTTGGTTTTAGTGGCCACTCTGTGTCATTAAACGCATCTATTAAGCTATGCAGCCACTGTTTACCGACAGAGTTTTCACGCAAGTGCATATGAAAACTTTCTTCGTCGGCTCAGCGTAGACGACGGTTTTGCAAACGAGGCGGTATGTGCACATCTACTTGACTGTTTTCAGATCCAGCAACTGGCCATGGTAGGTGGTCGAACTGAGGCAGACTTCCTCAGAAACCTACTGACGGTTCTATTGGGCCCGCTCTTATGCCACAACTTCTGTTGGGCGGGCGGATCCAAGGAGAATAAGTCCTTCATGGCCTGTCCACTTTTTCCTGTCCTTAAAGGTAAGTCCATTTTTTGTTTATTTTCACGCGCAGATGCCATTGCCCAACATCCCCGTTTTGGCAACTGCACTATAGAGATATTTCGACGGACAGCAATAAGGTGGTTTCATGGATCACAGGACCGGTACGGAGGAAGATCGACACGTCGGCGGAACATTCGTCGGGTACAAACTTTCGGGATTTTCATCCACATTTATTTAGACTACAGAAATCACCATGCCTGCGGCCACATGCCCACAATTATCCCCCACCAAAGAACCGGTAAGCAAATTTATCGAATTGCCAATCCTACGCAGCATGCTATTTATTTCATGTGATTTTTACTATTAAAATCGTATGTATTGGATACAGTGTATCCTTACTTCCGTTGCGCCTGCATTACGTATGTCTTACGAAAGTTTTTTTTATGCAGGAACTACCAATGGCCAGTGAAAGTGACTTCTCATCCTGGGTACGAAGGTCGCCGAAACCCTCATGATCCAAGACAGACTTTGTACATTTACATTTTCTGACTTACGTATTCAATAAATCGTCCTTCCACAATACCGCCTTCCGACTTTACCATCTTCGGTATCCGCATTTGCCCTGTAGTGGGCCACTTATCGCCGTAGCCTATCTTGCTTGGGACGTGGAGGTTCGCTGTGACTCGTTTCGGGGTTTTACGTTAGGCGACCGTTCGTCATGGTTGGCGTTTACGGCCAAAAAAATCGAGGCCGCGATGAATGGAAAAAAAAACGAGGAAAAGCCCGCACGCAAAATTTTTTCCAAGGTGTGGCCAAGTGTGGCCAATGTGTTGATGGCCACACCATAGCCACACTATTTGGCCACACCTGGCCGCACCATAGCCGCACTTGGCCACACCATATTTGCCTCGGCCAAGTGCGGATGGTGCTGGCAGGGGTTTAGTTTCCTTCAGATTTCGACGGGGATTGCCTGAGGTTTCAAGTCGAAAAGCAAAACAAGACTTTAGTCCAAATTTACAGTGATGATAGCTGCCGCCATATCGAGGATCTAAGAATGAGGGTATGTACGATAAAACATTTTCTGAAAGCCATAAATATTGGTTGACCAGACGGCACAATTGATACTAAACAATTTTTACTGAATAACAGAATGCAAACTTTAACAAAAAACGGTTAAAAGACAATTTCGTATGAAAGAAAACAAAACTGTGAGTAAATTTGTATTGGATAATGAGGCTATGTAGGATCAAATAGAGATTAGTCTTTAAATCGACGATAAAAGCGGTCAGTGGAGACGGTTTATCGTTTAAAGTAGAATGTTATTCAAAATTTTACGAGGAAAACCTTTTATCTATGCGGGTTAACTTAATAAGATAGAGTTTATGTTGGGTGAAAAAATACGACACTTTATTCCCGCTTTATGATAAATGGACAAATCACGACGGGAAGCTGAGATGACTTATGATAAAAAGAGGAAATTTCACCAGATTTACACTGAAAAACTGTGTAGGAGATTAAGAAATCAAGAAAAAATATAAATTTCACTAATAATTTTAAAATCGTGCTGCTCGCGTTGAGGAGGGTAAAAGTAGTGGACTTCGACGATCCGAAACCAAAGTTTAATCTATGTTGACAGCACTATAACTGACTTCCCAACAAACAAGGTAAGCCACAACGATTATGAACATCAGCTTTCGAATGCTAGATCCGAGTCTGGAGGTAACATGCATGTAGTTGCGGCACAGCTTACATTTGATGTTATCGAGATTTTTAGCAGGAGCGACGATCACACGTCATGTCAGGCATATAAACCTGACAGTTGTCTATCGACTTTTTGAAAATTACTTGGCGGAGACAGCAAATACGGTCGAAGCCAATGAGGGCGGAGGTGACACAGACTACTGCATAGTAATAATTGTTTTATTGAACACCCGTGCGGGCACGGTCCATGGGATCCGTCTAAAAACACACAGTCGGCAGTGATGATCTATCCGAGATTTCACCAGAGTTGCGCATTCCATTCTCCGACCTTTGAAGATTGACAGTTACAGACGCGATAACGGAAGTACACTCTTGCCATTCGCCGACGCCTACATACTCCCTATAGCATGCTATTTTATTAACTGGACATCTACCAAGCTTGGGCTGAATACCCTATAATTATAAACAGAAAGGCGGTATTAAACTAAGGGGTCTGAGGATTTTAACAACTAAGGCCAAAGAAGCCCAGGAATTTTGAGCTGAGAACATATGCTAACATTGCGAAGTGAACATTGTTTTGTTATAATCATCATCATGTGGGCGCCGGCACTTTTTAAAGGTCTTCTCGTGTTTCGTCTTTGCCGTCTGCGCAGTGATGTCTGGCGATTCTGGAGCTCTAGAACTGAAGGAGGATGACATCAAGTTGATGGTTGCGGCGCGCGTACAGATGGGCAGTACAAATCTTAACTATCAAATGAGCCAGTATGTTTACGAGCGAAGTCGTGAGGGCAACCATATTATCCGCCTTAATAAGACCTGGGAAAAGTTGCTGCTGGCTGCCCGCGCCATCGTCGCAATTGAGAATCCTGCTGATGTATGCGCCATTGGCGCCCAGGAGTCTTCTCAGAGGGCTACCCTGAAGTTTGCCCACTACACAGGGACCACTGCTGTTGCCGGTCGTTTCACACCCGGAGCTTTTACCAACCAAATCCAGAGCGGATTTAGGGAGCCGAGGCTTCTGATAGTCAGTGATCCTAAAGCCGATCACCAGCCTGTTCGTGAAGCGAGCGCGGTGAATATACCTGTCATTGCTTTCTGCAACACTGACGCGCCTCTCCAATTTGTAGACATCGCGATTCCCTGCAATAACGACGTAAGCATCTGGTTGTAGACTCTATTCCTTTTCAAGAAATACTCCGTAGCTCTCATGTGGTGGATGCTCGCGCGCGAGGTTCGCCGCATGCGCGGTGAAGATTTGCGCACCCAACCTTGGTCCGTAATGATGGACCTTTTCTTAATGCGCGAGCACACTGAGGAGGTCCATGCCGAGGAGGGTGAAGCCCAAGATGTCGGCTTTGAAAACGTTCCAGCGGATGTCGGTAAGCTGTCTTAGATCTGTCCAAATTACGCATTAGTCTACTACGTTGTTTGGAGGGTATAGCTTGATTTAAGTGATTAGCTGTTATAGCTCCCAATGCCTCTTCCTCACAACATTTTTCTAATTTCTTAAGCTGCAGAGGGCGAGGCTGCGGACTGGGGAGCTGAAGCCCTGCCAGTCGCTGGAATGCCCGAGTTGGACGTGACTGCTGGGTATACTCCTGTCGCTGGCACCGTCGGTGGAAGCTGGACTGAGTATGACGTAAAACCCGACGCCTCATGGAACTAAGTGTGTAAATATATAATTTCTAAGGATTCCCACGCTCTTGCTCTCGTCGCCTCATCCAGGCCTCAAAATATTACAGAAGTGGCGTGTACTTTAGAGTTGCAGGCCATAGACCCCAAACTCCATCTGAATCTCTGCTTTGTTATTTCCGACAGTCGAATTAGCCCGGAATAATGTCTACCCATATTAAGCCTAGTGCGCCCGTTTTCGGATTTTTATTGGCGTCCTAACCTCAGCCAGGAGTTTGCACCCATTGCGGCCTGTTTTGTAAGTTCTCAAAATGCCATCGGTATCTTACTAGTGCACGACCTAGATTCTTGTCGTAATGGCCCTAATCAAACACTCATCTGTAATTTATAATGCACGCTCAAGCGATCCCAAATTTCTCGGCTAACTGGAATATAGTCACAGCTGAGTCACACGACGTAACAGTAATTGGGAGAAGTGCGACCTGTGTCATCGTCCATGCCAGTCAAGCCAAAACCTGCTTTTACAACCACAACCGTTTCTGTTCTCATCGTTAAATAATAGAAACACAAGGGATTCTCGTCGGCTATTGGAGCAGGCGCGACGAGAGGTTTAACACTTCGGACAGACCCTCTCAACGAGCCGAGCAAGGGACGCCTACCTGACAGTATTTTTCTAGGAGTGACATTGGCTTCCTTCATTTTTTATAGAAAACAACGTTTGAAAACGAGCGCAAGGCTCATGTAGTCATCTCAAATGTTGGGAATATTATTCTCCAAAAATCATTGATAGGAGAGTTCGAGATGTCCAGCTCCTAAGCTATCCGAAAGTATCGTCAGTAACGAGTGAAAAGCATAGCTTCCGCTGGAGTGGTTTGACGATTATCATGAGTCGACTCAGTATTTCTGGGATGGACGTATGACGAATCCAGAGATGCTACTGCAAACTTACTTAGGTCCCCGGTAGCCGATTGACTTTAATATGCCTAGTATAAGTTTAGGACGGATTATCCGGTGACTATGGCGCATCCACGGGTGGAGAGTTGCGAGACGGCCCTCAGTGAAGATTGGCTGCGAAATAAAGAGGCTTGGGTGTGGTAAGTAAGCAGCAGTAAGGCTACCAGGACGCGGAGGACAAAGGACACGGCACACCGACTGCCTTAAAGGATACTGCAGCGTCTGATGACGGCACTAAAACATGGCGACCGTGAACTGTCATTAAATAACTTTGTTTGCCAGCGCTATCTTACTATCGGTTTCCGAACCAGAACGTTGGAGGAGACAACCTCGGACAAACAAACGACTGTCGGTGGACCGACACGCTCGTCAACCTTGCCACCGTGGTGTAGGCGAATAAAATGCGAACTCGACTAATCAACAGAGAATGGACTCTTTATGCTGACTGCTGGACTGATCGGACGTTTCCGGACTGACGGCGTGCAGTCTTCGTGGGTACGACGTGAATGTCTGCTGTTTGTCCGAAGCCAAGATCCCTGGCTCAGGCGCTCGGGTATAAAGATTCTGGGAGTCAAATCCCACTCCGCTTTTTACCATGCGGCCCACGCGATTATTCTGGTTGGCAGGATGTGGCGATCGCTCTCAACAAACGAACCACAAAGTATTAACGTGGGAACTGGCCAGTTGCCAACTGGCTCGCGTGCTACTGAAAAGTCACTTTACGAACAGCCCCGTCGTCTCCGAGTATGCATCAATATCAGCTGCCGACCAGTGCGACAAAGAAGTTCTCTACTGTCAGCTTCAATAGTCATTTGAAAGACTCACTCGTTGCGAGCTGCTAACCGTCGCCGGGCACATGAATGACCGGACTGAACTCTTCCGTCAGTTCATTGGCCGACTTGAGCTAGGCCCTTGATGGTGAGAGGATACCGACATTTACCGGCCATGGCCGACTGTTCGTCGCCAATACGTATTTCCAGCACCATCACCACATTGTGGTTCTGGTATTCAAATGACGACCACACGGTCAATCGTGTCAACTACATTCTAGTCGGTTTAAGGTTCCGCAGCTGGGTTCAAAACAGCAGATCAATGCGTGATGCCGAAACTGATAACGCCCATAAATTAGGCTATGTTCCCGTTCGCACACGTTAGGGAGTTTACCCCTCACCCATTTTCAAACTGTCACATGTAAGATGCATTGGTGTCGCAAAAATGCGGCTAACCAACGTAGCAGATGTCCTGGGTGCGGAAATATAGTCTCGTTCTACGGTCCGAATCGGAGGGGAAATTAGTGGCAGATGGTCATCTTCGGGGTCATCAGTCTACGGGGCAGTTGGAAAATTTATTGCACTAAGCCATCGACCCCTCAGTGGATGAACCAGCAGAACGATCATGCAGCTGTCTACCCAGACGCGGGCCAGGTACCCAGCTATGATTCCCCCGACAGCTCTGAGAGCTGACGGCAAAGTCGGCTAGAGATGACGACAGAAATTACTGAGCTGTAATAGTGATTTCACGGAGCAGGTCCCAAACGTTGGGGACACTCGAGGAATCTACCAATAAGTTCGCCAATTTAGTGGTAGGTCACTGCGCTGAATGACCCTGTTCGCAATATGAATGGCGGCTTTATTGCCAACGGCTCGGTTAAGGTCAAGCGCAAGCGTGAGTACTTCGAACACACCAACTTTAATGACCAACCCATCAAACTCTCTGCAGCAGAGTCTCGCGTGGTTTTCTTAACCTCAGCCGAGCCATGTTTCGAGTTGGGAGTGGGTGTACTGACCAGGTACACAGTTCGGCGCGTTTTCGAGTTCCGTCATAGCTGCCAGCAACCGAACGACCGTCTGCTTCATTGAGTTCGCTAAGGCGTCCGATTACGCCCATCGCGAGTCCCTGTGGCAAATAATAGAACTCATTGGTATGCCGGTAAAGATTATTGCCATGACTCGATCCTACGATCGCTGCTCCGCTGTGCGCGTCCTTGTTTATGGCAGCCTCTCAGCTGCTCTACATCGGATCTGGCGTTTGTATCCCGTCACCCATTCTGTCCAACTACGCCATTGACTGGATAGCCGGGGAGCCCTGCAAGGTTTCGAAGTTGTTGAGTTCGCATCTGAACGCCGGCTGACTGGTCGCGACGACACTGACGACATCGTCCTTCCCACCCCAGACTTTGGTGATGTACGGCCTGTGGTGCCGCGGGTGAAGTCGTTAAATCCGTCAGTTTGTCCGCAAACACTGACAAGGTTAGAGTTTTCGAGCCATATTTCTGAAGAGGAGAATGCACCCCCCCGGGACTAGATGCTGCCAGCATAAGAGGGTACATCGTCTTCAATGCCTTGGGACGAGGCAATTGTTGAAAGGGCAGGGTAAGCACGACATCGTCGCCCGAATCGAGGCTGGTCGCAGATTTCACGATCCTTGGAAAGTGCCTATGGAGTCGATGCGGCATTGTAATCACCGAGAATGTTCATGTGTACTTGGCATCCGCCGGGTCAGTCCTAAATAGTTTGGGGATGTTAGGCCGTTGGTGGAGGCCGATCGAGCGCTGGGGGTGTTTGACCACCGCTGCCTGAGACTCATCATTAGAGGGGAGTACACCGACTTGGTTTCAAGCGAGACGGTGCGCACTCGCTGCGGCAACATACCGAAGATATCTCAGGCAATCCAAGAAGGACGGCCATTGTGGCATGAGCACGTTTCTTGTCGTCTCATTCATGAGATCAGAGTGGCCGCTCTCGATCACTGCCCAACCGGGGTCGTAGAAGAGGAAGTCTACATAAAACTCGCTAGGCAGTTCGCCAGGGCATGGAAGCGGTTCTTGGATCACATGTATTTGGCTGCCGTTGCTGTAGGGGAGATTGTCCAGGGCTTCCAGAGTCGGGTGCCACAGATCATTACATATGAAGAGGTACATTTAATGACGTTGTTGAGGCTGACTAAATAAGGTAGGATCAGAGATGTACCAAGTGCGGTGCGCAATCGGAGGGGTGTTCTCACCTGTTACTAGTCAGCTTGATTTCCGAGCCTCATTGCTTACTGTCATTTTTGATGACCGTATGGCATTAGCATGACGGTGGAATATGCAATCCCTGCCAATTCGCAGCTCAGATTTGGCCGACATGAGTTGAAGGCGTGCCCAACGTGTCGGCTTCTGGACGTATTGGACTTGTGAGTGCGTGTGTAGTTAGTGGAATGGGATTAGTCCGTTTATTCAGATTTGCAGACTGGCCCGTTAACTTCCATGCTGTTAACTGGTGGTTTGCTTAGAGGTGTATTTCGATAGAAAATATAAACGAGGTTACCCATCATTTAGCCAGTACGGTAAAACGGTTTTGTTCTTCAGATACACTAGGACTGATTAAAATGAAGGCTACGGGTTTGTTACACTGGGTATTCGGAACACCTAATATCAAAGAAAATGACTGAATACCTCCGCAACCGAAAGGGTCCACTGGCTAAGAAGTAAGATATATGCATTCGACTGGTGTTCAGAGAAGGCAGCTTGTGGGCTAGGAGCGAATAGGCAAGCTCCAGGAAGGAGTTCATAAGAAGACGGTGCGATCGGTGGGATAAGTCTATTGGTCTGACGTTCCGGGTTCTCGCTCGAACTCTTAATCTGCAACTGTCCTTGGTGATTGATATGAGGATCTGAAAATTTCAGGCCAACCAAATTCTTGGTTATGAAAAACTCGTAAGCCATAGTGACGACTCTTGGTCGCAGACTTTAGTTGTATACTTTTTGGCCTTCAACTTAAGGTGCCATTTACGAGTTATCAACTGTCTCCTCTCAGAGGCCGAGACAGATGGCAGTTTCGGGCCACTTCCATGTGTTTTTATGTGGTGCCATCACTTGTCCCCCTAGAGCGTGCTCCACGACCGGACGAATCGTTATTTCTACGAGGAACTCGGACAAAACCCAGCTTTTTTGAACAAGAGCCACCCAAATATGGTATCCAGCTCCATCCTCGAACGCCTAGTCGTTACTGGCTTCGTATACGCTGATCAAACCTTTAGCTTGTTCTATCGGGTACCAACTGACCACACAACCACCTATGCAAGACATTCTAGAGGCTGCCGTCTGATCAGAGAACCCAGTCTTATGCGCGCAGAACACCGCCCAGGCTTTATGCTTGTCATGGTCAGCTCACGCCCATAAAAGATGGCCTAAGCTGTCGATCCGGGAGACAATTTTTAAGTAGTGACTAGACAGTCGCGAAAACAAGAGGCCGCGGTGCCAAGTCACGGAGGAGTGAGAACTGGAGCACTGACAGCCCTGCGAAGCAATATTAGTGGCGGTCACTTTTTAAGGCATCTTTCCTAGGAACATCCAAAAAAACTTTCTGCAGAATTATTTACGACCGAGAACCAGCTGATCCACCAAATCATTAGTGAAGTCCCTGACCTAAGCGTCAAACCAACTGACCGGCTCTCGTTTAGGGAGATAAAGCGGGACGTAAGAACAATCGCGTACAAACGCCGTCGATGTTTTTGTTATTCGCACACACGATCTTTAAAATAAGCAGAAAACAGTGAGCATACCGATGAGTTGATCGTTGCCCCCTGAAAATAGTCATTCCGCACCGAGTCCACTTGATATGCAGCTCATTTGTGGCTCTCCGCGGGCATGTTAGTCGCCGTGGTTGCACTCGCTTTGACTGGAGGGTAAAACCTGGTAGTAGTTGGTTGGAACATTTCCTCACTAAGCGAAGTTACGTGGTTTTTTTCTGTCAGTACGGAAGAAACAGGTCGAGTCTAGGCGTGGGCATATTATCGGCTTAACTGTTATCTCATAAGCCTACCTCTAAACGTTCAGTACTGTCGGATTTTGCCCGCGGGCCTAAGTTTGTGCTGTCGAAGTACACATAAAGGGTTTCTGGCACATTCAAATATTGCATCCTGATGCACCTGTAGTCGTGTTGACCTTGTCAATGAAATACGAGGGGTAAGGGAGAGAAGAGGCCGATATTGGGCAAGCCATCCCGGATATTTGCAGTGAAATTCATCACTAACCTCGACCACAGTACAGGAGGTGAACTTTCACCAAGCCTCTGGCTGTTGCCGTGAGGGGAAGTGATCCAGCCAACCTGAATTTTAGGTTGGACAAATGCGAGGACGAAATATCTAAACCGGTCCGTTCACAGCGGGGCCTGATGACAGCAACGTGATAGGCCGGTCGATATTGTTGATGTGACAAAAACCTGGCGTTTAATCACTTGTACCCTCTTTTCGCCGGTAGAACCGTACAAGCCTCTGTCCTGAAGCTAGTTCTTCGACAAAAAACTTCCAACATCCCTCGTCTCATGTAACATCCTTGTTGATTGAATTATCGAACGTGCTCTACGCGGTTCTACCGGTGGAACAAGTCTGCGAATCCAAGCCTACGGATCTCTGCTGGTATCAAGATACGAAGGCCTGTAAAGTGTAGTATTTCAATTGTACGAGATTGTTGAAACAGCTGTTTGTGAATTAGCGCTACAAGGACGAATAGATTATCCAGTATCATAAGTGTCCAGGAAAAGTCAATCGCAAAGATACGGAGTCCACGTGTCTGTCGCACGAAATGTCTAAGACGCAATCGAAGATGGAAGCAATGCTGTTTGAGGGATTGTTGTCAACCGAAGTGTTAGTCGACTGTTGTGCGCTTACCTACCAAATGACTGTGCGTGTTTGGCCGGCATTTACCTTGGTTGAGTGCGAAGAAGAGCAGATGTAAGTTCCCGGTCAACGCTCCCTGAGGACCATACCTCCTAGAGCTAGATGTACAAAATCCGCCCAAGATGAAACAGTCCCTGCTTCTTGTGACAACATAAGGCTAATTGGCTACTGTAAGCCAGTGCAGAAATTAAGGTCGTCTGCGCGAAGAGCAAGTGGGATGACACGTTCGAACACACCACGGTTGGATAAACGCTTGCGTGCCTGGATAGATTTAGTTCTGAACTAAAGGTTGTCTGCAAACTAAGCCGAATTCTACAAGGGTGCTTTCTTTGGCGAGAATTGTAAAGTGCCCGGCCTGTGCATTGTAAAAGGGTAGGCATGCGGTGTCAAGACATTTTCAGCACTGATGTTTTATATGAAAAGGCAAGAAGTCAGGGCCAGTGCGGAGGAATAAGAAATTTGCTCGAGGAAAACTTGATGAGCAGTACGGATAAATATACGATCGGGAGGAATTTAGGAGAACTGCTGGGAATTTTCGGGAATTCGGGTAATCGTAGCACTAAGTAAAACCATTTGATCAAGATAGATGAAGCCAAACGAGACAAAAAAGAGATGAGATGTGAACAGAAACAACGAGTTTCTTCGATTGCGTTCTGTGGCAGTGGAATCATTGATTTTTTGCAAAAGTTTTTCGACCTCGGGTACCGATAGTGAACGCAAGACACTGGTGAAAAGTCGCTTGTGAAATGAGCTCCTCCGGAAATTAAGACGGAAGTTACGTCTGTTACCTTTTTGCCGAAGATTTCTGATGAGTCAGGTGTCTGAACTTCCATCCCATGTTCGAAGTCTTTGAAGGCACTACCAGTTCCCGTCAAATACTGAATTATAAGTCCAGTTGGTGAGGTGTAGCTAATTCAAATAATCATATTTTTATAGAAGAGGTTCGCTCTAAGGTATCATGGTATAGGCTATAATAGATCAGTTGGCAGCTTCTCGTGAAATTAAGGCTGGGCAGGAAACTTGACGCAAATGTGATTCAACTCACGGCTCCCAGTGGAGCCTTACAGCTTAAGTCATTAAGACGTCGGCTGCACTCAAGCCTTGCCCGTGCTGTCGTGAGACAAAAGAGCAGACCCGTTTCTGCTCTTTTGTCTCTGATGGTGGATTCGAGTAGGAATCCGAAACGTCAGGCTAATAGAGCTCTTGTCTCGGCGATCGTGTCTCCTTCTTCAAGACTACTTCCTGGGACTCGGCTCTTCGCTTCTATTGACAAGGATCTATGAGAGACAAGAAGAACAGGACGCACCAAGAGTTAGAAATCGCTTGAAAAGCAGATAAATGTACGCCAGACGGTTAAAACAGACAGTGGGTAATCCGAGAAAATGCCGCGTGGCATGAGTCCTGGTCCGCAAGGCACGTCCCCACCTTTGAATTAAGTTCAGCCACGTCCACACATGGACATCGTTGACCCAGTTCTTCTCCAATGGCCATTCCTACCTTGCGAATTGCTTTGACGACTCCTCTGGTGGAAATCCGCCTAGCCAATGTTGAAACATCATCAAGGCCCCGCTTCGTCGTCGGATCGCTACCTCCGGTGCCCTATCCACCGTTGGGACTGATTGCGGTCCTCAGTTCGGAGGTTCTTTGCCAGTCCCTCGATTTTTTGGATAATAGCCAGACTCAGATGACAGCCTTGCATTCGAATATTCGGTTAACTAGGTGATCGAATGATTTCACCTCCGGTTGAAGACCATCCTACGCGACGCGAAAAATCCAACGGGCTTAGCTGAGCCCCTCTCAGGGGTTCAGATTAGCCCTTAAATCCGGCCTCTGCCGTTCGCCGCTGAACCCGGTTAGAGGCGCTACCATCCGTCTCATCAGAGATGCTCTGTCCGGCGAAGACCATCAATTTTTCGTGCAGCCTCCAGACCGTGCGGCTCCTTTTCCTCACAGCTGCCTGTTCCTGACTACCACCTGGAGAACGATTTGCATCTGCGTTACCCTTTTGAGCGCATCGGCAACTTGAAATCCTTTACGACGGTTCCTTGCATGTTTCCTACCGGAATAAGACCTTTCTAATCCAGCAAAATGATGGGGGAGAAGTCAGCAAGGAACCGCCGTCCCAGACTTTCCCACGGATGCGCCGGGTCATCTCCTGCCGCTCCACCACTTCCATCCTCTCATCCTCACACGGCATTAAACACCCTAAATGTCCAAAAGCAAAAACTCATTCAGCCATCCCTGCCGGTCACACCACACACAGCAGGTGTGCATGCTTTTCGCACGGTTTTTGTACTCACCTCTTAAGCTGGAGCTGACCATTACGCACATTTTCCAGTCATACCCAGCCTCTATGGGGTACGGTGGGAACGCACTAATTCGGCACATCGACCGCCACAGTCCACATATCGACATCCCTTTACGTCTCACACGAGCCGGCGCTGATCAGCGTGCACCGCCACTCCCCAGCCTGCGAAGTTGAGGAAGCGAGCCGGGTGCCCGCTGCTCCGCTAACAGCGACTCAATTCACGACGACGTTAGTTAATGATTTGACTTCGCCGACTAGCTTCAGGCAACAGTATTTCGTATGGACTACGTGCGACTGAAGGGTCACTTCACGAACATCTCCATCGTCGCTGTGTACGCACCAACTTCGGCTGCCGAACAGCGCGATAAAGAGGCGTTTTACTCTCAGTTGCAAGCGCTAGTTGAAAGACTGCCTCGCCGCGATCTGCTGATTGTTGCTGGCGATTGGAATGGTCGAACTGGACCTGGCGACCTCACAACCAGTCATCTTCTTGGCCGCTTTGGGCTTGGTTCCCGATGTGAAAATGGTGAGAGATTGCTGAACTTCGCTGATCGAAACCGACTGATTGTCACCAACACATGCTTCCAGCATCGCAAAAACATCTGCTGGCCTGGTATTCAAACGACGGTCGTACGGCCAGTCAGATTGACTACATACTAGTCAGCTCAAGGTTCCGCAGCTGGGTTCACGATAGCAGATCGATGCGTGGTGCCGAGACTGGTAACGCCCATGGATCGGACCATGTCCTTGTCCGTACACGCCTGAAAGTTCATCTCTCATCCGCACCAAAAATGCCACGTCCTAGACGCCTCAATGTCGCAAAAATCCGGCAAGCCAGCACTGCCGAGGCCCTAAACAGAGAAATCCGGACCTGTTTTACGGCCCGAGCCGACGGAGAAGTCAGTAACCAGTGGTCGTCACTGAAAACGTCAGTTTGTAGAGCAGCTGAAAAAATCCTTGGATATACTGAGCGACGCCGCAGTGACTGGATCAGCGGAAGAACCCTGCAGTTGTCTGCTCGGACGGCTAGAGCCAGGTCCCGCAACGATGACTACTTCCGCCAACTTCGGAAGACGACGGCCAAATCGGCCAGGGATGACCGGAAACAATATTGGGCTGAAATAGCGACATCCATGGAACAGGCCTCGAACGTTGGTGACACTCGAAAGCTCTACCGTCTGATCCGCCAAGTTAGCGGTAAGCCCTCTACACTGAGTGACTCTGTTTGCGTTGTGAACGGCGGCTTTATTGCTGACAGCTCGACCAAAGTCGAGCGCTGGCGTGAGCACTTTGAGTACCATCTCAACTTCGATACCCAACCTGCATCGCCCTTGTTTTCCTCCTCAGCGGAGTTTCTTCCCTCTCCCACCTATGCAGTGCCATGCGATCCCCCCTCCGAGGAAGAAGTCGCCGGTGCCATACGAAAGTTGCGCAACAATAAGGCACCCGGAGAGGACGGTATACCCGCTGAAATCTTCAAGTCTTGTGTCGACACTCTGGCGCCCTGGCTCCATGAGGTGATTGAACGCGCGTGGAGAGACGAAGTTGTTCCTGATGACTGGGGCTTAGGCATCCTTGTACCTATCCTCAAGAAGGGAGATAAGACGAGATGCGAGAACTACCGCGGCATAAGTCTCATCGACGTTGCTGCGAAGATCTTCGCTATTGTCCTACTCAGTCGATTCCAGGCTGTGCGTGACTCAAGGACGAGGCCCAACCAAGCCGGATTTCGTGCTGGACGTGGATGCGCAGATCAGATATTCACACTGAGGCACATTCTCGAATTTCGCCATAGCCACCAACAACCGACGGCCGTCTGCTTCGTTGACTTTTCCGCCGCGTTCGATTCCGTTCACCGTGAGTTCTGTGGCGGATAATGGCGCTAGATGATGTACCGGTAAAAATAGTCGCCATGATCAAGGCCTACTATCGTTCCACTACTGCGAGAGTTCTGGTCCGTAACAATCTTTCCCAACCGTTCGGTATTCGGTCTGGCGTCCGACAGGGTTGTATCCTGTCACCCATACTGTTCAACTACGCTATTGACTGGATCCTCGGGATGGCCCTACGCGACAGTGACGGCGTTGAATTTGCACCCGGACATCGACTAACTGATCTCGACTATGCCGATGATATCGCCTTTCTTGCTTCAAGTTTTGGTGATCTGCAGTCTATGGTGTCACGGGTGAACGAGGTCGCTAAATCAGTCGGTTTGTCCATAAACGCTGGGAAGACCAAAGTATTCTCAAGCTGCATCCCTGACCAGGAGAAGGCACCCTGGGGATTGATGGCTGTCAACTTGAAGAAGTGGACAGTTTTAAATACCTCGGGGCGCGGCTGCTGCCTAATGGACGGAGTAAGGACGACATTGTCTCCCGAATCGATGATGCCCGCTGGGTTTTTTCAAGCCTTCGGAAGTGCCTGTGGAACCGACGTGACCTCTCCATCGCCACTAAGATTCGCGTGTACCGTGCATCTGTCCGGTCTGTCCTTCTCTACGGTTGCGAATGCTGGGCTTTGCGCGTGGCGGATGAGCGAAAACTGGAGGTATTTGACCACCACTGCTTGAGGATCATCCTTCGAGTGAAGTTAACCGACTTCGTCTCAAATGAGATAGTCCGCGCTCGCTGCGACAACATCGCAAGGATAACTCAGGCCATCCAAGAAAGACGACTGAAGTGGTTCGGGCATGTTCTTCGTCGTCCACCTCAGGAGCTCACTGTTAATGCCCTCGTTCCGGCACCGTTGCCCCATTGGAGGCGTCGAAGAGGGGATCAGTTCAAAACCTGGCTCGACACTGTCCGTCAAGACATGGAGGTGGTTCTTGGACCTTCGGTATTCGGTCTCCGTCGTTGGCTAAGGGAATGGGTTGAGCTGTCTAGATCTGCTGCCGCGGATCGTCACGCGTGGAGGCGTACAATTCGGGACATCATCGAGGCCGGCTAGATCAGGCATGATCGCAGCCGTATCAAGTACAAGTAAGTAGTGTCCGTTCAGTCACCCAAAATTGCTTCCGTCTGTTGTCATCGTGATGGTCCATTTCTTGACAGATTTAAGTCCTTCCTAATGGTTCAGTCTTACTAACTTGCGATCTGAGAACTCACAATCGTTGCTCTTTACAGGCAACAGTTCATCCCATTGGTGACGGAGAGGCAAGACAAAGGCAGCTTCAAATAAAACCTATACTGGAAGGGAAGTCCTGTGCATTCTGAGACCAACTGCCCATTCTAGTCCACTCTATTGGAGGCAGTCTTTACAAAACCAGTAGATCTCACGCGTACTGCCTTTATTACCGTTTGTGCGGTAAATAAACGGCAGCTAAGGCTTCGGACGCCGTGATGTCTCTGACTGGGACCTTAAGGTCGCTAGTGGTCATACGCAGCTGTTTCTGTGACCAAGACGATATATCCGCATTCCTATGGACATAGTGTGCCCGCATGTAGGAACAAGATACGGCGATGCAAAACAACCTTGGTAGTGTCGTAGTCTGATAACGAAACATGGTCATGCCAAAAAGACATCAGATGAACTCCTGCAAGCCATTCGGCGAAAAAGGCATACTCTCGGCGTCCTGCACATTTCCGTCAGAAGAATACAAGTGAAATTCGGGAACCCAATGACGACTCCACGCTAAAAACTGAAGTCTGACTTTGTAGAATTAAAGGTTTATGGCCAACAGAGAAGGGTGTATCCACTGAAATTTTCTGTGGCAAGCTAAGCACTAGGAGTCTTTTGCTAAAGAACGGACCTTAAGTGCATAATAAGACATTTGGACTGCTTAAACAGACTTCGGTTTCGAAAATATACCATACGGAATGGCACACCAACACACCAAACGCTTGAAGCGCGCACGTAACAGATGTACGACGGTCCAGGCGTAAGTGTATTTTTCGACTAAAAGTATACAAAAAGCATCGATCACCGAGCAGGTCGCAAGCAGAGTCTAGGTCTTAGATAACAGAAGTCTATCCCGTAAGTCTTTAGGTGGACCGGGGCTGGCAAATACAGTAGGCCTGATTACTTGACCCCGTACCCCCGATTAGGACTGTACGTATTTAAGGCAGAAGTCGTATTTTATAAGTGGTACATTATTATTTATTTGTGTCACTCGGGAGGCGGTGAATATTTCTCCTGTTCTAGTGACGATGACAAAAAAGACAGAAGAAGTGAGTGCACACGCTTGGCTTTCTCCAAAACTTCCTCCAGGATGGTTCTAAGAGAGGAAGCAAAAGAAGGGTCATGAGCGAGGCCTGTGGAATTGACCATCGTGATTTGGGCCAGCTGAGGCATAACGGCGATAGAGAAGGAGGCAGCGTTTGAGGAAGAGTCGGTATCCAAAGAAGTAGAATTCAGAGCCACGACCATATCATACATTTGAACGCCGGCATGAACTAAGGCCAGGCTGGCACAAGTAATGCCGGCCGATAGACAAGCGGATGAGGCTTGGCAGCCAGGGACGCCTCCATCATCCAGTACCAGTACACTTATCTGGTACTTACCACGTGGGAAGGTATGCTGAGACAGGTTTAATGAAGTAGAAATAGCACGTATGAAATTCTCACAAACCAAAGGATTGTCTTAAAAAAATAAAAGGGGAGCATATCCGCCGAGCTTCGTGAACGTGAGCATGACAAACTACACGGGGTGGTTAAACGCTGTCACCAGGAGGCTATTTTAACAATGGTACGAAAATTTCTAGAGAACTGGTTACAACCAAGAGAGGCTCCTTACCTTACACTCCCTTCGGCATACAAGTTGCGACCTTTAAATAAATGGTATGCAGTGATCTATGTAGATGGGCTAACTTGAAGAAAATGATCTAAGTTATTAGTGAAAATTGAGGGATCTTACGAAGGGCGCGCTGTCAGGCAGAACAACAGCACTTTTTTAGTTACACTTAACCCAGATATTTTTTCATATTCCTGTCCTATAATATCTGAAAGTAAACGAGACTTGTCCCGGCCGTGGAATTGAATAATTGCTGAACAGAATAAGTCCAATTAGACCCGATCCAGCAAACAGTGCCGGAGACGGGGGGGGGGGGAAGGGGGGAGAATCGAGTCCTCCCATTTTAATTATTGCACTCAGCACACAGTAAGGCATTAGACTATGAAAGTATGAATAGAAGTCTGAAAGTAGTGTACAATCGAATTTGCCAGCAGCACAATCAATCGTGAATATGTCACGTAAGTGCGAAACTCGGGGTCCTACTGAGTGGTAGTCCTGATGAAAAGGGAAACTCCTAATCAGAAGAGCACAAAAAAAGCAAAAAAATGGACTTATTATTAAACACATCGATAGGGATAAAAAGTAAAAGTGAAGACTTAGAAGGAATACGCCACCAACCAGTGCAATCGATGGCTCCAGTGCACTAAGCAGAAGTTGACTTAAACGCTTTTCCTCAGAATCCCGAACGCTCTCCCTCCTGACTGAAGAGGCGAAGGGAGCAAATTTAAAGGTAGTCGTTAGCTGGCCTTCTTGCTTCATCTATGAAGAATTAGAATCTAATAATAAAAATGCTCACTTCAGTCGGTCCGCAGACGCTGCACAGTATCTTAACATTCCCGTACTCAAAATACGCTGAGCCGTCTGCTGCTGGATTGATTCCAAGGCAAAAGTCTGAAAAAATGATCAGTTCATGGTTTGTACTAATTACACATGGGAGGGAGATCCTTCAGAGCACTCGATATCTAAAATGGGTGAGGATGAAAATATAATACTTTCCGAGGTTTCAAAAAGTAGTGAAGGTCGATAGCCTCTGACGGAGCCTTGAAACGTTCCATTTTATTAAGGAGGAAGTTGCTGTAGTAGAGAAAAAAATTAAACAAGAAAGAATGGAAGCCCAGGTGAAAAGTATGTTGAAAATGAAGTTCGTTGACTGCCTTAAGGGAGGCAAAAACGAGGTTAAATCATCGTGAGGGTCATGAGGAAAACTTGAACAGTTTTTGAGCCACATTTCTGAAGAGGAGAATGCATTCTCTGGGACTAGATGCTGTCAGCATAAGAGGGTACAAAGATTTAAATGCCTTAGGGCGAGGCTATTGCCGAATGGGCAGAGTAAGCACGACAGTGTCACCCGAATCGACGGTGGTCGCAGATTTTACAACCTTTGGAAAGTGCCTATGGAGCCGATGTGGCAATGTAATCACCGCGAATGCCCACGTGTACTGGGCATCCGCCCGGTCAGTCCTAAACAGTTTGGGGATGTTAGGCCGTTGGTGGAGGCCGATCGAACGCTGGGGTAGTTGGACCACGGCCGTCTCAGAATCATCATTAGAGGGGAGTACACCGACTTGGTTTCAAGCGAGACGGTGCGCACTCGCTGCGACAACATACCGAAGATATCTCAGGCAAGCCAAGAAAGGCGGCCATGATGGCTTGTTACTTTCCTCGATCGCTGCAGGAGCTCAGTATAGATGCCTGTTAAAAGTTATGCAATTTGCGACATCGCGGATGCAGGCTAGATCAGGGATGATCGCAGCTATGCCAATTAGAAGTATAAGAATACAAAACGGCAGCGAAAACTGGAGGTGAGACAGACGGTGGCGGTAGATACTCATTCTACCAAAGCCACAAGCTAGTAACTTCAAAGGTCCACTGCCATGTGATCGTAAGTGGGATGAGGGACAGAGTATCTGAACTTGCAAAACTTTTGGCAGCTACCTTTTCCTTTCCTTAAAAGCGTACGTCATCCTCGAACACTCAGTATCGGTGCTTAGCCAACGGTAGCTGCATGACTTAAAATCCTGCCTTATCGTGGTTTTTTAACCAGTTCCGATGACGGCTATTGGTAGGACTGAGTTTTGCTGGTCGACGGATACTTGCAGAAACAGTGGACAGGCCTAATAACCTCAATACGGTAAACGCTGTTTAAGATCACATGGGTGTCTTCTAAATTTGCCTGGCAGAGTTCTAATGCGCAGAGCGGTCGAGGTGCGGCAGGGTCTAGAATGGGAACTTCGGCAACTCGAAGGTACTGCCTTCTAGTTCGTGCTTTTTTCCTCCTGAACGTAACCGTGGATAATGTCACTAAGCAAAAATGAACGCCCCACAAATGCATAGATGACAGTTAGGAAGTTATGGCCAGTCACTGCCTTATCGATCAAACGTGCGCTCGCAGGCGCATGGAGACAAAAGAGTTTCTGATATATGCATAAATCCCTGCAACGTAATTTTTTTACAGCTTTGACTTTTAAGAGTCTAAACTCGTGATGCGTTGCTTAAACAAAAAGAACATAAACGATCTGCAGACGGAGTAAGCAAGCAGGTCACTGTAGCGGCTGAGGACGCCAAGGATAGCATACAGAGGTAGCGAAGCACTCGGGAGGGATCCTGATTAAAACCGATCTGAAGAGGACCGTTAACATGTCGCAATAGTCATCCATACTCCGGAGAAGAAGAAACGGTAGGTAGGTAATAAGGTATAATGGAAGATGAAAATGGGAAATACATATAATAATATTTAATTGTACAAACGGAATGAGCTACAACAAGAAAGTAACCTCTGGAGATCGTACGGAAACAATGACATGCCAGCTAAACAACCAGTGGGAACGCAGCGTCGTGGCCACAGCGGGGAGATTCCGACGTAGACAGAGAGATAGGAGTACTTCTATCTCTCTGTCTACGTCGGAATCTCCCCTTCCCCGCAACTTGCCGTAACACGTGCTACGGCAAGTTGCGGGGAAGGGGTCGGAGGTAATGAGAGGGCAGGACGCCGGCCACTTTCGCCGACACGCAGTTACCACCATCATCCTAAGTCCGCCAGCTAAAAGTGTCCCCTCATCCAAGCAACTTTATATGGACCGTGGGGTGTTACACCACAATCGTAGGCTACACACCTCAAGGGTCATTTTGCCAGGCAGAATAGCAGCCCATTAAAACTTATTTTTATTTCAACTATTTTAAAGATCTCGGAGACTCATAATCATGAGCCCAAATTTTGTTTTACGTCAGAATTGGCGGATACTCGGTTTAGTTTATTACGGCAAATAGGTTTGAGTCTTTGAGTACCTTATTTGCAACGTGAAATTTATTCAGCACACAGCGAAACCACGTGAGCTGCAATGATTCAATGGAGACCATAAAAATAGGATAATCCAGACGTGACTCTCGAGGATTGCGTTTAATACCACATCTTTCCGGCTGAATTTTGAACAAAACTTTGTCAATTTTTTTAAGGCCTTTCTTCCATAGGGACGTCACAACATCTTCGGAGAGGACATTCCATGGTTTAACTATTGGCAGAGGAACAGAACTTATTGAAGCCACACTTTTAATAAGTGACCTAGGGAGTTTATTGTTATAGCAAATTAAAAAAGTCCTCCGTGCATTTGTTTAAAACTCAAAGAAAGAAATTGAGGTTTGCTAATCTTGTTACACAGGACGAGCAGCTTTTTCCATTGACCATTTTTGGTTCCTCTTTGGACTCATTTGATACAATTGTGGTTTGGAACTGCGTACGGTCTCTAAGTAAGCTGCCGTGGCCAGGATTTGAACCTAGTTTCTTGACGCCACAACGAAATGTCCCAAGAACTAGACTGCCGGGCTACTAAAATGTGTTTCCAATGGCTTCAAAGCGAGACTTTGACATGTGGTTTAATTCATATCCTTTATCGTCCTGTAGTATAGTCAGTTCATAATGTATGTTTCTCTTTGTGTTTCCTGCCTCAAATGCTATATTAACTTTGGAAAATTTGCTTTTATACGATGGCTCCGAGGGGTCCCTATCTTCATAGCGCATATACTTAATAAAGCACTGGCGATCTATGGGGAAGAAGGTTTATTCATATGACGTTTCGTGTTCATGCTCGAGCACATCATCGATGATAGACTAAGTGAGAAATACAGGGTTTAAATAGGCCATCTGCGCTCGCATCCGATAGGTTCGTCCCGTTCTCTTCTGATTGACCCTCCTCTCGCGCGTAAATGGTGCCTGACGGCCTCGTATGGCGCTGGCAAATCGATACTTCGATTGATCTGGTTGGTGTCTGATTTCCCGGCCTCGATTACTTCACTCGCCACTTTGCTTTCAACTCGGCCGAGCATTATGGCGCCGTCAAAGTCAAACTTGTGATTATATTCCAGACAGTGCATGTCTGCAGGTGGTAGCCGGTCCTTGGGCTGCATGATTAAGCGGCGGATGGTGGCCTCCGGTCGGTGTCCAACGCCCACGCCTAGCGGCCTTAGCATGCGCAAAGTGGCTTCGGAGACGTTACTCACGTAGGGCAACACACGGAAGATTTCTGGTCTTTGTTTCTTCTCACCGTCCGTCTTCGTGTGCCTTCGGTACAAGCATTTGTTCACAAAACTGCGTGGATATCCATTGGCAAGAAAGAGGCGCCATAGGGTTTTACGCTCACGCAGCTTCTCGGCTTCTGTGCTACAGTGTGTGTGGATGCGGCAAAAAGTGTCTGGAAACAACTGCACTTATGAGACAGGGAATGATTGCTGTTGTAGTGAAGAATTTTTTCTTTGTCTGTCGCCTTTCGAAAGACACCACTTTGGAGGGTTGCGTCTTCCTGCCTCGATACCTGGACGTCGAGGAAAGGGAGCACTCCGTTATTTTCTTCCTCCATGGTAAATTGGATTTATGGAAAAACCGAGTCCAGTTCTCTTTTAAAGTTGTCTTTCGTGTATCAGTGTAAGATGACAAAGGTGTCGTCTACGTAGCACATCTAGAATTTCGGCTTGTAGGTCTAGAAGACCCGAGTTTCCAGTTCCTGCAAGACCGCCTCAGCCAGGTAGCCGGAGATTGGGGACCCCATTTGGTCGTCTTGGATTTGCTCGTAAATTTGGCTGTTAAACGTGAAGTACGTCTGTAAACAGTAGTCCAGTAGTTCCATCGCGTGACGCCTCTTAAAAGGTTTTCCTTTTTCGTCATACCTTCTCTTCAGTAGGTCATCGACAACTCTCATGGCCAATTCTTTAGGGATGGAGGTGAATAGTGAGACAACGTCAAAAGATA